AATTTTCAAACTAGACAACACATGAAAATGAATTATGTGCGCGAAAATTATTTTGTTGAAATTTAATATTTGATTAATATTCTCAATAAAATTTGTTTAGAATTAACTTTGTTTCTGATAATTCATTCTAATTTATTTATATCTGTATAATTCCATTCAAATATATGTACCAATTTTTCACATATTTTGCTGGGATTTTCCATGATTCTTATCTTACACTATTCAATACGAGATCTTGATCCTTTGGCATATATGTCTCGATTGGGAACGGCTGCCATACGAGACCTAACGATGCGTCCGATTTGTTACCCCACTGACAATCCTTTTGATTTGGAGGGTAAGCACCCGATTAAAGATTAGATATACTCTCAATACATCTTTCGGTGATAGAGCTCCTGACAAACACCTCTCGGGGCGAGTATTTGTCACCCAAATAGTCGTTATACTCTTGTCGTATGAATTCTCCCAACTTATACATCCGATACTTGCCTTTAGTGGTCAGTTCGCCCACACCCTCCACCCAATACTTGGGGTCCTGATAGGGGTCGTTATGCGGGAAACCTAACCAATAAATAACAATTGTCATTAAATGTCATTAAATGTCATTAAATAACAATTAATATAAATATAAAACATTTTGCGACCGGTAGGTGCACGGTCTCCATGCCTGTGCACTATTTGCAACAGTTTTAGTGTTGAGATGTCGTGATGTGGCCACTCGTGAGATGTGTGACAAATCACGAAATATATAAATAGATTTAATAATTTAATTGCAATCATTATATTTTGTATTATGCTCTTATAATGTTAGTTGTTAATAAAATATATTTAATTAAAACAGCTTTATAAATTGAATACGGATTATCAATATTAAACTAAATGTAATTTCAATTGAAAACTATTTAATTTTAATTATTAGCTTATGTATAAGTACAGTGATGTACAATATTAGTTTGGAGGATATGTTTAATTAAAATTGAATTATAAAACTGTATATCAATCAAAACGATGACCTCATCTCAAGGTTCCGTTAACCATATTTTATAAATTTACATTTTTCAAAATATACTAGCTTTTATTTTTATCAAGTTTATCATGAATACATACTACTTTGGCCAAATCTACCTTTAGTAGGCAAAAGTTAATTAGCTTTTTAACGGATTATCCAATTTTTAATCTGTTTTCACAAAATATAGCTGGATAATCATGTAATGAAACAGTATACTATTTACCATATAAATCCATCGGGATAAATTAGTAATTTAATTTCAAAGTTTTACGAACATATCTCATTGAAATTACATGGGGATATCACTTCACTTCATAACTAATTAATTAATTGGCATGCTCATTTAACATTAATATTAAAATCTAATCTGTACTGAAGTTTTATGCTCTTTCCAATGAACTATTCAGATTTGTTCTAGGATATACCATTAAAAAATTATATACAAATTTTCGTTAAATTTTCAAAATTGATAATTTAGAAACAAGCGCATTTTGATAACAAACAAAATAATGTTGGAATTTTTAAAATTGCATTTTAAATGACCAAGATACAGTTATATAAAGGTGAAGCGTGTTTAGAGTAAATTATGAAAAATGAAGTGATATCCCCATGTATTTCAATGATAAATGTTAGTAAAACTTTGAAATTAAATTACTAATTTATCCCGATGAGTTTATATGGTAAATAGTATACCGTTTGATTACGTGATTGTCCAACTATATTTTGGTGAAAACCGGATTATCCATTAAAGAGCTATTTAACATTTGCCTACTAAAGGTAGATTTGGCCAAAGTTATACTGAATCCTAATGTATTTTAATTGTATTTTTGGTAAAGTTTAATTTGGTAAAAGTAAAATGTAATAATAAATAAATAATTTTGAGAAATTATAATTAAGGGTCGTTTTATCTTTATTATTGTTATTGTAGATATTTTTAAAAACACAATAATATTAAATACTTGTTTTTATATTAAAATTTTGTAAATATCAATTTACAAAAATAATTATAATGATAAAAGTTAAAAAGGTACTTGTGGTATATTATATACAAAAATATAGCACTAATGATAGAGCAATAAATACAAGTACAATTCACGAATACATTTAAATATATACATATTATCGCTTTTTAATATATTAAAAATAATTTATTAATATACAGAACATAAATGAACTTGGTATTTTATAATAATTTCATCTATACATAAATCGTATGAAAATAATAACAACAATTTGATTAAAAAAATTATTTTTGATCATGGTTAAAATGCTTGTATTACAGGTCAGATAGTTTTTGCAATTTTTGTTTTAATAATTTGATGATATTTTAATAAGCAGTATATGTAATCTTTAATGAAAATTTAAATATTTTTGTTTGTCATATTTTAATTGTAATGTACAACATATACACAATGTATGTCGATAATTAGCGGATATTTACACAAGTTCAAATGAATTATTAGACACTAAATCGATGCTAAAGATATTTTAATGAAAACAAAATTTTAAAAAAATAAATTTCAGCAATATAATTTGCGCGCTCATAATTAATTTGCATATGTAATTGTTTAGTTGAAAAAATTATTTAAGCAAACACACATCATGGGCAGCGACTTCATTTTGCTGGCAAGCCTCAGTAGGGCAATCTGCGATTAGGACAGGGTGGCCATGCCTTACTCGGCACTCGTATACCGCGTTTTCGAGGCATCCTTTTCCGGAGAGGTACGGCTCGGTTCCGTTCACTTTGACATTGCGTCTGGTACCACATATACGACCTAGCTCCGCCCCGCACTTACAATCTTAAAAATTAGTGTGAACAATTTAATTTAAAAAATTATATGTTTAAGGAAAGTAGAATTCTTGTTTTATAAAATTATATTTATACCAGTGACCAAGCACACATCTGTGCCATCGGGTACATTTCGTAGACAAGCCTGATGAGGGCATTTTGCGATTAGGACAGGGACACTACCCTGGAATCGGCACTCGTACAGTGCGTTTTCGTCGCACCCACTCCCAGAAAGATACGTCGATACGTCGCGTCGTGAGCCGCAAAAACGACCAAGCGTCATACCACATTTACAGTCTTGGTAAATAGTAAAAAGATAAATTATTAATTTTGATATTATGTATTACGTAATATTTAATCAATATATTTTGAAAACTTTATTTAAAACAAAGGATTAATTAATCTTAAGTAAAGTTAGTTAATTTACGTTTAAAAAATTAAAAATTAATTTATCTTAACATTATACAATTTGAAATCCTATAGTACAGTATACTAAGCATAAATTAGCATGTTCATAATATTATCAAAAACTAATTTGAGTTTAACAAATAAATTTAATATTATAAGAATTTATAATTTAATGATAATTTATTTTGCAATTAATTTACCTTGGGCATCAGCGCAATGTAAGTAGACAGAGATCAACAAGATTACGGCCACGTATACTTTCACCATGGTTAGTTTATAATAGACTGAAGTAATTTACTTGATAGTT